CTCTCACATTCCTCCCTTTCTCTTGGTACTAAACTCAATCATGAGTTTACTGAGTGTCATCATACAGTTGATTATAATGTATTGTACTAGTACCCGGATCATCTTGAAGTATTTGATATTGCCGTCTGAGGACCATGAGCTGTACGGAGTTCACTCTATTTCTTATAAAGTTGACTAACTGGCTTAAAATATAAGGTCCAACCACCAGTAAAATTAGTCCTACTATAATTGGTCCTGCAAGGGCAGATAGTAATGATGTTAGCTAAGGGGAAGTGTTAAACCAGTTTTCATACCATCCTTGGTTTTGGGTACGCTTTCTTTTTTTTTTCTAGCCCTTCTCTTACTTTAGCCATGGAGTTCTTTATGACTCCCGAGTGATCTACATAATAACAACATTCTTCCCCTAGAGCTGCACAAACTCCTCCTTGTTGCTGGAAAAGGATATCCATACCCCTTTTCAACTGTAAAGTCATTTCTGCAAGAGAGGTTAGGGATTCTTGGAGTTTGGTAATGGATTCTTCTAGTCTTTCTATATCTTGATCAATCGCTGCTCTAAGTGAGTTATACTGCTGATGCTGGGTTGCGATAGAAGCAATTCCTGTACCAGCACCCGCCAGTCCTAGTCCCAGCAAAACAGTTAAGATTACAGCAAAGATTGGTTCTCGTTGTTTCACACCCCCACATTTTACAATAAAAGCCTGATACCCCCCCACACACTGGTTCGCTAAAGGTTTGTCTTTTATTCTCCCTGGGCAAACGTAAAATGGTAACTTACGGAGTTGGTGGCAGAGTTCAGGGTGCCCACAACCTACTCCATTGATTTCTCCAGAACCACATATCCACTGGCACATGGGTTTGCCTGAACACTCAGGGGTACCATTTTTGTTGGGTTCCCAATTTAAGATATCCCAGGATCCAGCTGTCAATTGGCACAAGTCAACATGTAGGTCAGGCCACCAGGTATTGGGGGGCTGGTTGCCCGTAATAGAGCTGATAACGTCCCCTGTGGCCAACGTAATTGTCCAGATCAGTCACTGGGGTGTGTGTGGGCTAGAAGAGGGGTTTACATAGTTACTGGTTACTAACAGTGAGGTTCACATCACTGAATTTTTAGCTTGAGTGAATTGTTAGGGTCCTTGGAGACATGCCATTCCTGGTCTGGGACTGGGTCGGCTCTGTGGGCGTGGGTATGACAAATCCAGGAGGCTATTCCGTCGACTTTGAGGGCAGTGGGCATAGTCAAGATCACGATGTAAGGTCCTCTCCAGCGAGGTTGTAGAGTTTCTTGTCGATGTCTCTGCACGTACACCCAATCACCGGGTTGGTATTGGTGAGGTTCGGGAGGGGAATAGATTGGTAAAGAGCTCTCAAGCTCTGCCAGATGTCCCGTTGGACTTGTTGCAGGGCTTGAAGGGAATAAATGAGTTCATGATTATCAATTTCAAATAACAAATCAGACTGGAACTTGGGAAAAATAGGCAGAGGTCTACCAAAAACAATTTCAAAAGGTGTCAATCCTAATTTATAAGGAGAGTTATGGACCCGAAATAGGGCTAAGGGGAGGAGAGTCACCCAGTCTCCGCCAGTCTCTATGGTTAATTTGGTTAAGGTCTCTTTTAGAGTTCTGTTTGTTCTTTTTACTTGGCCTGAACTTTGGGGTCTGTAAGCACAATGTAATTTCCAATTAGCCCCAAGAATAGATGCTAGTCCTTGTATTACTTTAGACACAAATGCCGGTCCATTATCTGACCCTATCATAGTAGGAAAACCATACCTGGGTAGGATGTCTTCTAACAGTTTCTTGCTCACAACATGAGCTGTCTCTCGCTTGGTGGGGAAGGCCTCTACCCACCCTGAAAAGGTACCTACAAAGACTAACAAATACTTATATCCGTATTTTCCTGGTTTTATCTCCGTGTAGTCCACTTCCCAGCAAGTCCCTGGTGTGTTGCCTCTTGATCTGGAGCCTAGACTTGAAGGGTTTTTAGTAACGTTGGTTAATTGACAGGCTTTACAGTCAGAAACAATTGTTTCAATTTTAGATTGAGCATTTTTAATTATTACATCTGCCCGTTTTAATAATTCCTGCATCTTTTTGGTTCCTAGATGGGTGGTGTGGTGCATTTTGAATAAAATTTCTTCTCCCAGTTTTTCGGGGAGGATGGCTTTGTGATCTGCTGATTTCCACCAATTGCATATGTACTGAGTTCTGGGTGATTGTTTAATCCATTCCACATCTTCCTCCGTGTAGTCGGGGTTTGCAGGTAAGGTGGGACTCCCAGGATCAGGTAGGTTGGAAGTCAATACCAGGTTGGTAGACAGCGCAATTTCTCGGGCGGTTTGGTCCACTAGATTGTTACCTCGGGTAATTGGGGTGGTTATTTTCTGGTGCCCCGGACAATGAATGATGGCAAGTTTCTTTGGGAGCCACAGGGCAGCTAGTAGATCTAGGATCTCGCTTTTCTTCTTAATTGTCTTCCCTTCTGTGGTTAGTAGCCCCCTTTCTCGATAAATTGCCCCATGAATATGTGCCGTGGTGAAAGCATAACGACTGTCCGTATAAACATTGAATTTTTTGTCTTTTCCTAAAGTTAGGGCCTTGGTTAATGCTATTAGTTCAGCTCGTTGGGCCGATGTTCCGGCCAGTAATGGCTCAGCCCAAACTATTGTAGTTTCTGTCACCACTGCCGCCCCCGCATACCTTTGTCCATCACGCACAAAGCTGCTCTCATCTGTATACCAGGTAACTTTGGCATCTGGTAAAGGGATGTCTTGTAGGTCAGCTCAGATCCCGTGTGCTTGAGCTAGAATGTCGACACAATCATGGAGCGGAGCACTCAAATCCGGATCCGGTAACAGGGTGGCAGGGTTCAGTGCTGTAGGTGACTGAAAGATACTCTTGGTTGGGTTCAGTAATAGTCCTTGGTAGTGGGTGAGCCACGCATTGCTGAGTCATCAATTGGGAGGTTGTTTAAGAGTCCCTTCTACGGCATGCGGGGTGGTAACATATAGTTCTTGTCCCAGTGTAAGCTTGTTCGCGTCTTTGACTAATAAGGCTGTTGCTGCTATTATGCGCAAGCACGAGGGCTACCCTGATTCTACTGGGTCTAATATTTTTGACAGATAGGCCACTGGTCTTTTCCAGGGGCCTAGGTGCTGGATTACAACTCCTTTCGCTACCCCTTTGTTTTCATAAACATATAGATGGAAGGGTTTTTTTACATCAGGCAGTCCGAGGGCAGGAGCGGACAGAAGGGCAGTTTTAAGTAAATTAAAGGATTTTTCCATGGCCTCTGTCCACTGAAATTTCTGCCCCTCCTTAGTTGCTTCATAGAGAGGCTTTGCTAGTTCTGCAAAACCTGGTATCCAAAGTTTACAGTAGCCGGCTGATCCTAGGAACTCCCGCACTCCGCATGGGGTGCTGGGTCTAGGGATTTTTAGCACAGTCTCTTTGCGGGCCCTAGTCAGCCATCTTTGCCCTTCTTTTAATATATACCCCAAATAGCTCACCTTGGGCTGGGAAAGTTGAGCCTTTTTGGCTGAGGCTCGGTACCCCATATCTCCTAGCGTTTGGAGCAGGTCTCTGGTTCCTTGGAGGCAGGTCTCGTAGTCTGCTGCAGCAACTAGGAGATCATCTACATATTGTAACAGCATGAGATAGGGGTGGTCGGATCGGAACATACCCAGATCTTTGTGTAGCACTTCATCGAAGATTGTGGGCAAAATTTTGAGCCCTCGGGGTAACCTCGTCCAGGTCAGTTGTCCACTAATGCCTTCTGTCGGGTCAGTCCATTCAAAGGCAAACAGGTCCTGGCTTTTTGGGGCTAGTGGTAGGCTGAAAAAAGCATCTTTAAGGTCTAAGACTGAGTACTACTGGTGATCCAGGGGTAAAGAACTAAGGAGGGTGTATGGGTTAGGAACAGTAGGATGAATGTCTATGACCCACTTATTGACCTCTCGGAGGTCTTGCACCGGTCTATAGTCATTGGAATGAGGTTTCTGAACAGGGAGTAGAGGAGTGTTCCATGCAGACTGACAGGGTGGGAGTATTCCTAGTTTTAACAGGCGCCAGATGTGAGGAGTTATACCTTCTCGGGCTTCTCGTGACATAGGGTACTGTCGGACTCTGACTGGGTCTGTTCTAGGTTTAGTTTCTACATAAACCGGTGGTCTATGTTTTGCTAACCCTACGCCTCCAGTTTCAGCCCATGCTTTGGGAAAAGCTAAGAGCCACTATTTTATGTCTTCAGACGGGGGAGGAGGGGGTTGCTGGTGGAGCTTATATTCATCTTCCAGGTTCACAGTTAACACATGAATAGACTGGCCCTTACTGTCCATAACAATTGCCCCTCCTTTTTGAAAGTGGATTTGTGCCCCTATTTTGGTCAGTATATCTCTCCCGAGAAGTGGATAAGGGCACTCTGGAATTACCATGAACGAGTGGGATACTCGTCCCACACCGAGATCTACTGTTCTTTGGGTAGTCCATGAATATTGTTTTGTTCCTGTGGCTCCTTGAACCCAGGAGGTTTTATTAGACAATTTCCCTTGAGGTTTAAGTAAGACTGAATATTGCACCCCGGTGTCTACCAGGAAATCAATTGGAGTCCCCTCCACTCTAAGGGTTACCCTGGGTTTGGGGAGGGGGACCGAACCCCATCGCCCCTAATCACTGAGTTCTCCCAATTCTAGTACCTTAGTCTGTGGTTTAGGAGTCTTTTTATTTGGGCACTCTTTTGCCCAATGTCTGCTTTCCTTGCAATAGGCACACTGATCCTTGCTCAGTTTAGGGCGTCCTCCCTTGGGGGGAATCCCCCTTACCTCGGTATTTTGCGATTTTCTGCAGTTGCTGTTCTCTTTCTCAGGTGCTCCCGGTTGTTGAGGCGAGTAAAATTTTTGCAAGGTTCTGGGTGTTCCAGTCACTGGCTGCCGCTAATGCCTTGGCCTGTCGGTCCTCTGGACTTTCCCTATGGTTATAAATTCTCTCTGCAACTAACATTACATCCTGAATACTTTTTTCATTTAGTCTGTCAATTTTCCGTAATTTTCTCCTAATGTCTGTGGCTGTTTGATTTACAAAGGCCATGATTAGTGCAGCCTTAGTTTCAGGTGCTTCTGGATTTGTGGGGGTATATTGACAAAATGTGTCCATTAATCTTTCTAAGAAAGCAGACGGACTTTCATCCCTCCCTTGTTGTACATCACCTACCTTAGCCAGATTGGTGGGCTTCCTTGTGGCTGCCCTGAGACCTCCCATTAGAGTCTGGCGGTACACCCAGAGTCTCTCCTTACCTTCAGCCATGTTGTAGTCCCAATTAGGACGGGTCAGAGGGAAGGTAGCATTAATCACATCTATATTAGTAGTGAGCTGCCCGTTATGCCCCAAGACAGATTTCTGGGCTTCCATGTGGATTCTCTCACGTTCCTCAGTAGTGAATAAAATTTGGAGGAGCTGTTGACAATCATCCCAGGTAGGCTGATGAGTAAACAAAATAATCTCTAGGAGGTCAGTTAAATCTCTGAGGTTATCTGAGAACTTGGCATTCTGAGTTTTCCATTGTACAGGTCACTAGTGGCAAAAGGCCAATAGTGAAGCTGCTGGTTACTGGCTGCATCTGCAGACCCTGCGACTTGCAATGGCAAGACTGTGGAATCTGCTGGTCCACTAGAGGGGGCTGCGCACTGCATTCTTCCACGGGTGCCAGCTGCCAGACCTGTGACTGCCATTGCCCCGCCGCTGTCCAACACTTGGGGCGATGCACCCTCTCCAGCTGCAATATCTGCTGAAAGCATTTGGTAAGTTGGGGGGGGGAGGAGGTCTTCCTCTGCCCCACCCTGAAAGACTGGGTAGGTCAGTGCTGAAGGTTTGACTTCAGGTTCTTTCTTCCGCGCAGTATAAGTTTTCACTGCCAGGACCGGTTTAGGTGCCTGTTTAGGAACAGAAAGAGGCAACAAAGGCTTTAACCAAGGAGGTGGGTTTTCCACTAAATCCTGCCATGTGATAATATACGACCCCTGATCAGAGTGTCCCCCACTGGACCGGAACACAACTTCTTTCACCTTTAAAATAATCTGAAGATTACATGTACCTTCAGCTGGCTATCCTATGTTGAACGTTGGCCATTCTGAGTTACACAATGTGACAAATTTTCCTTTTTTTATTTCTAAACTTAAGTCATGTGCCCTTTGTCTAACTTCTTTAAAATTGTTAGTCAGAAGAGAAAGAGGAGTCATCACAGTTTGTCCCATTTCTCCTGTCCACCAATAATACAAAACCAAAGACACTGATATCAACCAAACAAACACACAAAGAGGCTAACAAAATATGCCTCCCGTAGATTGGAAGCAAAACTGAAAATAGGACGACGGCCTCACACCGTACCGTGGGAGCAACCCGCTTCGTCCCTTTACAGGTTCCAGAATGGAGGACGACTTTTATCTCCTCCCCAGGTTGAAGGGGTTTTCTAATTCCCTTCCAGAAGAGGAGGCCTTGGAACGTCTTCCAGGTCCTCCGGCTGACGGCCCACCTGTGTGTCTACTTAGGCCAAAGTCAGCTCTACAGAAAATGGGCCCCAAGCAACACACATAGACAAACATCAAACATTTAAACACTTACCAGCTGGCTGCAACCCCCTGGTTTGGGAGTCCTGGGGTATCTGGGGATCCTGGACGAGCCCCCAAATGTTGTGCCCAGACCCTGTTTCCCCAAAGACCACCAAGGAGCCGATTCCACTGCAAAAGCATAGGGTTGTTTATTCAAGCTCGAGCTTGGACCCT